ACCGCCACCCGACACGGCGGCCGGTGGCGGCAGGAGGCGGCAACCACCACCTCACGGTGGTGGTGACAAATTTTTCTTCACTATCTTGATTGGTTACAATTTACAAAACGATCCAAATAACACACACGCTAATAAACACACATACACACACACACACCTAAAATACACAAAAACACACACACAGCCACCTTCCATGGTGGCTGGTGGCGACGGAACATGGCAGCTAGCGGTGGCCACCATGGCTGGCGGCCATGGTGGGTCTTTTCTTCAATATCCGGCAGCAGCAACTCGCAAAGCATGCGATGCAACAGTAAACACACACAAGGACCCCTGAACCGCTACACCACCACCCACCCAACAACTCTTAACGGTCTTTTAGGGCAATCGGAGCAGAAACGGCAGCGGGCATGGCGGTAGCAGCGGCGGAACACTTACGGAGGCTGAAACAGCGTCACTCAAACACGAGAGCCCCTTCGGGGTGGCGACTAATAACCGGAGCCATAGAAACGATCCATACGGTGGCGGCGCGAGCTGTAGAAGATGAAGGAATTCCTGCCGGCGGTCGTTGTCATTATCGGCGAAGGAGTAGCAGCAGTGCACCGTCTCGCCGGCGTCAACCGCTTGCGGTGGAGGCCTTGGTGGTTGGCGACTTCAGCGGAGGTTGAAACAACGGAGAAGCTCGGCGGAGGCTGCGACTTCGACAACAGGAGGGGTAGCGGTGGTCTTAGTCGGCCGGAGAACCAAAGTGAGTGGGTGGTGCGGCGACCGGAAGAGGGAGGCACAAGGGTGGCGGCTGAGAGGGTGTTTAGGGTTAGGGTTACGGGGTGAACAACTATATACCCGACTCCCCCCTCAAACTTTTCGCCATACTACCAAGATCAGCCCCTCCTTTCTCTTTTTCTTTCAAATTAAGCCCCAAAATTTTCAATCTAAACCCTCCCTTCTGAAAATCATTACATATCAAGTCCAAAAATGTTACCAATCAGCCCCTCCCCTACAAAACCTTTTCATTTTGGGTCCAGAATTTACATTTTAACCCCATTTCCAGATTTTAATACGTTCTAGTCCCGATAACAACCACTCATATCAACTTACTATCAGTTAAAAGCTAAATTAAAATAATATAAAATACATCTCGGGGTTTTACGGCCATTATTATTTATATTATTCGTTTGTTTATTTTATTAAATAAACAGGATGTTACATTTTATGACTCTAAACATCTTAAAACATCTGAAAGGAGAGCTTATAAGCTTTGGAGTATTCCATACTCACAAAGATCAATGTTTTAGGACAAAATGAACTCAAACCCAAGACTAAACAACATCTATCAAAATAAGCTCCAAAGTTTGAACTTTATACCTTAAAAAGGTAGACAAGGAGATGTAGATTATGGATCTAAAAGAAAGGATGCACCACCACCTCTTGAATGATCTTCCTTCTTTATCAAGAACACTCAAGGATCACTTTCAATCTCCAAATCTCACTCACAAAGGATAGGGTTCGATATTAAGGTTTGGAGCAAGCCAAAACTCATCTCTAACCTTTTCATCGGGAAGCCAAAATTAATGCAATCACACCCACAAAAGTAACCTATTTTGAAATGAAATCTTCATTAACCTTTTTTTGATCCATCGTTATCATTCGATCATCGTTCGAAACTAAAACCCAATATCATAGACCTTGGATTGATTCAAAATGGTGGAAATTACAACACAGTGAGCACCAAATTTAATTCACCTCCAGAGATTACAACCATTGTCGGAGGAACATGGCCAACACACACAAGTGTAGGGACTTTCAAATCCACTAGGGAGTCGATTTCATATACGCACACACGATTTCATCAAAGCCCTTTATTTTCTTCAAACTGCACTCGAGTTCGATGCTTGCGGTGATAGAAGGTCCTGGTGGGGAAGAAGACGCGGTGGGCATTTATATCCTCTGTGACAATTTGCAGTGGTGACAAGTAGAGGAGGGTCATCGGACGTTTGAAGAAGGTAGTGTTTTCCGACAAGCGGGAGGCACAAAAGAAACTGTTGAAATCAATGGGGAAGAAGTGTTAGGTTTAATAGATATTTTTCCTTTTTTATATTAAAATTAGTTAAATAAAAATATAAAATAAAATAGTAGGGTATAACAGTCTTTTTAGGTGGGATAAGGCCCAACTACGGCCTCGTTCGATATACATTTTTTTTCAGGTCCAAACAGATCTTTCTGGCCGAATGGGCAGGAATGACTGTTTGATTTGCACAAAAGGGAGGTCTTTCCTGATAAGATATGTCTTTCCCAGAAAGCCAAAAAATCATATGTTTCTGGTTGAATTATTATTTTTCATCATTCAATACAGTCAGTCAGATGTACAATCAAACAACATGTTTTTTTTCTCAGCCAGTAAACTTTTCCAGATAGCAACTATCAAACGGGCCATACATTAGGAATTAAAACCACAACGACCTTCAATGAGATTGAAAAAATTAGAGACTAAACCTTGATATTCTAGGAAACCATAGGGACCATTTATGAATATTAGTCTATTTTATTTATTATTTAAGTCACTAAACTTTTAATTATATTCAATCGATCAACTAACTATTGTTTGTTCTATTATATCATTAACTAGGGTGTCAATTGTTGACACGAAACGACAAAAATACACGACACGAAACGAAATGAGGACGAAAATGAAATTTGAATTTGTGTTTGTGTCAAGTGTAAAAAACATGATATCATGTCGCTTCGTGTTCTTATTCAAAATTCGACACGAAATTGACACGATTTAGTATTTGTTTGTCGTGTTTTTTGTGTTTGTCGTGTTATGTATTATTAATTATTAATTAAATAAACTAACTGTTATTTTATGTTATCTTTGTTGCGTCGTGTCGTGTATGTCGTTTTTTAATTGGTTCGTTTTCGTCTTAGTTTAAAAAAACACATCGTTTCGTGTCGTATTCGTGTTACATAAAACATTATTGTATCGTGTCGTGTCAGGAAAAAAAACATGACACAACTGTCTAATTTGTCACCCCTACCATTAACTATGTGCACATAACTTACATGGAGTCCATGAAGCCAGGCATGAGGTTATCTACGGTAAAAGAGGAATCGATAGCAATATTTTGGAAAATTGTGTGGTGTTAATGTCCCTGGTTTTAGTCAAATTGAAGATGTAATTCAATGGGTGGATTCGATGCAACTATCCAAGACAAAACGAATGGTGTTAGAATCAATATTTATGGTAATGTGGTGGCTCCTATGGAATTTTAGGAATGATGTTCTTTTTAGTGATCAAGATGTGAGAAAAAAATTGTTGGTTGATAGATTAACCGACTATTCATATAATTGGATTGTTAATAGGAATAGGAAGTTTAGTATAAGTCGAGTAGCATGGCTTATAAATCCGATTTTATCTATTCCATTGTAATTATTTGTTAGCAGATTGCTAACTTTCTTAATAAAAATTCAGCCGTTAGAAAAAAAAAAGGAATCTGTGGTGTGATTAAACAAAAAAAAAATTTACTGGTCAATTAGATACTTAAAAGTTTAGTGATTTAAAAACAAATAAAATGTATAGGTTTCTATTTATGACATTCCCCCCAGCCCCCTCCCCTTTTTTAAATAAAATTACACTTTAATAAACACACAAAGAAACGGGGTTCTTACTAATTCAAGTAGAAGTTTTCCAAGTTTTTTGTTTACTAATTTACACAACCAAAACAATAAAATAACACATAAAGTGATAATAATAAAAAATTGTTATATAAATTAATAATATAGAAAACTAGACACCTATTTATCGCCCTAAGATGCCCAAAATAAGGAAACAATTAATAGTATTATACCCATGGTTGACAGAATAAATAAGATATTGGAAAGAATATTAGTTATCAACTGGATGAGATGGTTTGAAGCAAAATAATTGTGTCCATGTAATAAAAAAATCATCCAAAATTTCATAATAATTTATATACTTCAAATACATATATGAATTGAAAAAAAAAAGTAGAAATATTAAAAGTCAACAAACACCTAAATAACGTTTCAAAATATATACTTAAAATAGTACCCGACTTTTAAAATGCAAATAAAAAAAGGTTGATTATCATTTAAATGTTCATAACAAAATAAAAATCGGAATTCAGAATCTCTCTCGCCAATAATTCCTATGATTACCAAATGAATAAGAATATACGGACGAGAATGTCTCTCATAATTCAGCTTTTTAATATTGACATATTTCTTTTTAAAACCCCAATAAATGTTATGAATTTGAAAAAGATTGTTGCTAAATTAGTAAACATGTATGAATTTTTGACATTTAAAAATAAAAACAACACGATGAAACAAGATAACAACTAACAAGGCATGGTTTAACTGATTGTCTAACAGAACATTTGTAACTTGGAACAAAACATTGATAATTACCAACAAATTAAAACTTTTTTTTAAAAATTTAGAAAACATTTTTTTAGTATCAACGTTAAATTTTTATACTTTAAGTTGATAATCAAATTAAGGTGCTATCAAAATTAGAAACTATATAATTTAATGAAAAAATATTTGTTTACGAAAATGGTTTTAATAGCTTAATAAAATAAATATTGGCGCCTTTCGAAATTCGTGATAATATTGTGAATATGATATGCGACACATAAAAATTCAATTAAAAATAAATAATTTGAGAACTATTATTTAGTACATAATTTAATGAAATATATCATTCTTCTACATGCCTTTATACATCGTTTTATATTTCTCAGCTAGCTTATCAGCTAGTTTTACCAAACGTTAATTTTTTTATCAGCTAACAGCTAATCTACCAAACATAGCCTTTTTTCTTCATTTTACAACATTGTTGGGGCATTGTACTTTGGAAATCTACCCAATTATAGCATTGTACTTTCAATTTTTCTTTATTAAAACATCATATGTTGATTAAATTGAGTAGATTTTTTATAGTACAATGTTGTAAGAAGAAGAAATAATACTTCTTGCATTTAACCCAGTATTTAAAATATGACTCAACATGCTTTATCCAAATCCATATAACAAATACACAAAATGACCATATATCATGAGTGATCCACTACTTTTCAGAATAAAAAAGTTCAAACATTGATTCCATTAATATAATAAAAGTAATTACTAAGTTAACCATGGTTAAGTGCCAAATGACTGATTTGATCAGATTGAAATTGTCTTAACAGCTTCAGAGATTGTTGATACAGATTAAGGTCCATTCCATCTACATTTCTACCAACTCTTGCTTTTAATATCCCCTGAAAAAAAAAGTAAACAATTAAAATGCAGTTTCTAATATTGATGAGGATAATGAGGGCATTTATGTCTTTTACATATAGCTTTAATAAGTAAAAAAAAAAATGTAAGTATGTTACTATGATGGATAAGGAGTTGTAAGCTTATGTACCTCATTATTTGGTTGAATGGAAAGTTCTCCAATGAACTGATAAAGGGATCCCACACGAAGATTGAGTCTTAAGTGTTGAGTGTCAACTGCTAAGGTAACACCTCCATCAGCAATAATGGCAATGGCTGACTCAACATTATGTTCTTGTAACCTAAAATCAGAAAAGAATGTAGATTGTAGGATAAGAATGTAGATGAATCCACTGAGATCAAAAGATTTCACTCACTTTCCATTAACCCTAAGGGATGCTCCTTGCTTGAAATGTGAAGAAGACGAGTTGAGTTCTTGTAGAAGAACCAGGGCACCTGAGGGTATGGGAGCAGATGCCATTGAAACACCAACAATTCACAGGAAATTCAGTAATGTAAGTATCCTGCAGTAAAGAAATTTGAGCAATCGTTAGGTCTTGTGAATGTGGCTTCTAATTTCTGGTTTGGGTTTTAATAAAAAACAGTAACAACAACAATAGATAGTTTTCGAAATAGATATGAACACATACAATGTTCTTCGATACTCGAATCGTTTTCAAATTAATATGAACACATACAAGGCGAACAATAAATAGAACTTCGTAAGATTAAGATCATGCGAATGCTTAGATTAATAGTGTCACAACTCGCAACAGCAACAAATTAAATATGAAGGTGAAGATAATCATGAGACGGAATAGCAAATGCAAAATTAAAGAGAAGAAGATGAATTAGGGCTCGACGTATTTGTGTGTGCGTATGTGGCAGAGAGAGAGAGAGAGAGAGAGAGAGAGAGAGAGAGAGTAACTTCACCGGCGATTGAAGTAGGGCATGTTTCCGACTTTCCGGTGGACCGTGACGAAAGGGAGGTATGATTCATGAAGATCGACGCATAGCCCATTCAACCACCTAGATCCGACCCGTATAGGTATTGTATTTAGAGTACCATTTGGTCGCGCGCATTTGGTCCTCACCGGAAATTGGCATTTGGTCCTCCCTGGAAAAGGTCATTTCAAGGTCCATCAATTTCTATCAAATCAGTCTAGTTTAATGAACTGGACCGGTTTGGTTCGGTCTAAATTCTCACATCTATATCCAAGAATCGTGAACCAGATTTGGACCGCAACAGGTCCGGTCAAAGGTCCACCAATTTCTATCAAACCGGTTCGGTTTGATCCAAATGTTTCACCCCTATTCTGGTTAGCCCAAATTCACACATTTGATCCTAGTATTAGATTTTTGACATGGATGGTTATGGTCTCTATCAGGGTTGGCCCTTAAGGAGTGCAAGGTGTGCGCCCGCATAGGGCCCCGAAAAAAATTGAGCATAAATTTTAACCATATTTTCTAAACATGTTATCCGTATTTTTGAACAAAAATTAAGTGCTTCAGTTGGATAGAGGCACTCCTTATCTTCGAATACCATTCGTGAAACCCGTGCTTTGAAACATATAGATGTTTTTTTACATTATCCCTTGAAATGTTAAAAATGCTAACACCAATTTATTTAGATGTTTGTATCAGACATCGGAATAAATAATAATAAATGTATCAAAACATGTGGCTTTGATTGCGTTAGTCATGGGCTTCGTTTTTTAACCGAATAACCTATGAAAACTGTTAGTAATAAACGCAGTGTTTGACTGTCAAGTTTAGCAAAAAAGAGGGTTGCGCGAGCCTAAGTTTTCGGAGCTGCATTCGTGTCCATGCACAAGTTCAATGAATTTGACCTACGAAATCCAAGATTTGCACCACCATGCGCGTGGATAGGCGTTGGAGTAAAACCATATATATAAATTTGTAAGCTTATTATACATTCAAGCTTATAAACTGTAACATCCCAAAATTATAGACCAAAAATTTTATTTTAATTAAGTTATTATATAAAACCAACAGTATAAAAACATTCATAATAATATCTCATGTTAAAACCAAAGTGTCAATAATCAAAACATATTATCATAAAACCATATCAGAGTGTAATCCCAAAGATCTCATGTGTGGAAAACATAGTGTGATGCGATGCAATCAAGTCGGCTCCTTTCCTTTGAGAACGAGTACCTGAAACCAAAACTGTAAACTGTAAGCACGAAGCTTAGTGAGTTCCCCCATCATACCACATACCATACAAATCACATACTGTCAGGCATACCGGGGTGCCCGACCTACCCCATGTCAGGCATATTTGGGTGCCCGACCTACCCTTCTGAGCATACCGGGGTGCTCAACCTACCCCTGTTAGGCATACCGGGGTGCCCAACCTACCCCTTCGGTCCTGTCGACCTGGTACCGGGGACTATTTCACCCCCTACTACTACCACATAATATCATATCGCATACATCATAATCTGTCTAGCATAGCTTGGTACTAAACTACCCCTTCGGCCCTATCGACCGGTAACCGATGACTATTCCCCCTACTACCACTATCACATAACATCATATCATGCTAACACATAAAACATATCAGGTAGTAGCAAACCTCGATAATTATCACAAAGACAATCATCTATCAACCAACTCCTACTAGTGGGCCGGCATTATGGCCGTAGACCCACTTCTACTGGAAGGTAACTCACCTCACACTGCTGAAGTCCCGCAGACCCAACCCCAGCTGCTGGATGACAGATTCCCGAACTGTCAACATCAAAACATCACCCAATTAATAATTGGGTTCCAATACATAACCATAGTCCATTCTTCGGGGTAAAAGACTACTCTACCCCTAACTTGGCTTGATTCAAGCCCAAGGCCCAATCCAAAGGCCCAAAAGTCCAACTATGGCTCAAAGCCCAACATATGGCCTAATTTTCCAAATTGGGCCCAAACCTTTACATGGTCTTACCCTAAGGCCCAACCATTATTCCAGTTCAACATTTGACATTCTAAGGGCCCAATCTCATATAATCATTAAGGCCCATCTATGGCCTAATTTTCCAAATTGGGCCCAAACCTTCATATGGGCCTTACCCTAAAGCCCATATAAATATTCTAGTCCATTTGATTGTTCTTGGATGACCCATTATTAGCCCAATCACCAAGGCCCAACACAAAGCCCAAGTGAAATTAGGGTTTCACATAAAATGACAATTAGGGTTAAGTGTTTCTTACTTAACCCATTAACTCATTTAGGACTTAATTCATTAAGTCCATCACTCTGCTAGATAAGTCATATGGTGTGATTGGGTGTGTCACAACTGGAAATTCTGATACCTTGTAAAACCCTTAACAAAGATAACATTGTAGTTAAAGCTTAGAAAACATGTATGGTGTTTATTCAATAACAACAAAATTCCGTCAAATACCCTATACAAACTTTCAAATAGTCAACAAAAGTTGGAAACCCTAAAAATCTCAGTTCAAGTCCATTTTGGACTAGGATTTTCTTATTGGGCCTAATAGACCAATAAGCTTCCAATTTGACTATTTCGGGCTTAGAACTCTTAAATGGCCTCTAATTGGACCCACCTTCATTTATTTTAACATTTTGGACCATAATGGGCCTAGAATGAAATAAAATACTCTTATTGGGCCATAACAAACTTAATTAGCTCTAAAGGGCCATAAAACTCATACTTTGATTTATTTTGGGCCGTGAACCATCTCCAAAGACCAATTGGGCCGAAAATCATCAAATTGGGCCCATAATATGGACTTAAGCACAAAAGGCCCAAATTCTCTTCTCTCTTTTCTCTTTCTCGGCCCAAGAGGAAAACAAAAAAAAATGAAATTGATGAAATAAGGAGGGTTAGCCACCTCCTTATTATATTTTGGTCTTCCATGCAACCATCTCATGTTTCCATGCATCCATCACATCCTTATCTCTCTCTTCCCTCTTCTTCTCCTTGTCTTCGGCCGAGAACCCATCACACACACCCACACTCTTCCAAATTCTCTCAAACACTCACAAGAACACTCTTACATCTTCTCTCAAATTTGAACATCTTCAAGAAGAGTTTCATCATCAAAAATCATCAATTCTTGGTAAGTCCTACCACACTTAAGTTGTATAACTTCATATTCATGTTAGATCACTCATTCTAAGTAAGTTTTTGGTGATCATACTCCTAGAAACCTACTAAGTTCGAGATCCATCCAAGAAAGCTTGCTAGGGCCGAAAATAGCATCAAACTCTTTCACTTCTTCTTCAAAACCGAGATCCACAAGAAAAGGTGAGTTCATACCCCTCTCTTTTCGGTTTTCACAAGTTTTATGGGGGAGAATACAAGTAAAATGTGTAGATCTATGTGTATGTGTATGCTATGTATGATTTCATGTATGTATGTGTGATTTTATGTGTTTATGTGGTAAATATGTAACAAAAAGGGAAGAAATCTCGAGATCTATGACACAAAAGAGGAAACAAACATGATCTAATATACGTTTATTGAACAAGTCAAGAAAAGTTCCTAGCTTAAGTCATAATAAACAAAATGCAACATAAAACTCATTTTTGGGCTAAATTTGTCAAACAACTAAAAGTTGAGTTAAGAGTTGCCATCCACGGTTTTCTTAAGGACTAAAAGAGTCAAAACAGTAAAAATAAATGTTTTTATGAATATCATACTCTTTAAAGGGCTAGAAATGTAATTTGTAGCTTAATGGGCCAATTTTTGGGCTTTTCGGCCCATTGAGCCCAAAATTGCGAAAAACCAAATTTTCAAGGGATTGAAATGATAAACTTCTCAAAACAGGAGGTAAAAAGGGTAAACAAAACCAATTCGAGGGTTAAAATGATTTATTTTCCAAACAAGGATCAAAAATGTAAACTTTTTGGATTTTGGGCCAAAATTGTAAAAGTTGCGAAAAGTTTGGGTTTTAACTGAAAAATTCCTTACTGGAAGGGCTGAAACTGCCAAAGAGTAAATTTTGAACAAAAATCACCTTTTAAACAAGTCTATGGGTCAAAAATGTCAAGAAAATGGTTTAAGGGCCTAAAATGTTTCTTTTTCAAAATAAGGGACTAAAATTGTTATTTTTATTAAAGAAGGGCTGAAAAGGTCAAACCAACATTTTAAACCAATTATTTTGTTTTTAAGATATTTGAGTTAAAAATACCAAACTACAACTCATGAAAATAGAAAGATGAATATACGTATAATTCCAAATATCGTTATAAACAACCGACCGGCCTCGTGCCGATACGAAGATAACAATCGTTCAATCAAACTTTCCAACAATTATACTATACCTAAAACAAGTAAATATCCAAATAGTTGGGCTTGAAAGATCCTAATCATGCTTATTGGACCTTCGTGGCCCATTGACATGACTTTTGGGCCTAACACTAATAATAAATGTTTATTGGGCCTCCGGTGACCCAATTACATGTTTAAGGGACCCTCAATGACATATATATGCTATTGGGCCTTGGTGGCCCATTAGCATTGCTAGTAAGGTCCAAATTAAATCAAATATGAAATGGGCCAATGCGTCCTTCGTATAACCCACAGCCTTAAATAACACACGTAATTAGCAGGACCTTGTAATCCTTTTCTCCTCGTTTGTTAGGCTTACCTTCAATTCAAGTAAACAAATACAGGTCGTTAATCAATAGTAATCAATTTCGTTTGGATTAAGTGAGTAATAACGGGCGACTCCTCTGAGGGTCATTCGTAGTCTGTAGTTATAATCAAAGTCTCCTGGAAGGAGAGCGAGAGTTTTGTGTATAGATCTATACGGGGGTGACTCCACCACACCTCAGTTGTTCGCTACAGTTAGACTCGGTCAGTCTAGGGTGACAAAATCTTAAGATCAATTCCGACGTACATTAGGATGCCAAGACAAACGAACTAGTCATTATTATGCATGGTTATAACGACTCACGTAATTAAATAAATCCAATACCATCCGAGTAATCAAGGAAAAGTAATCAAAATCACTCGTGTAGCAGTATAACAAT